CTGGCGCCGTATTTCAAAATGATATTTTGACCCCGGGGCGTGTCTTGCTCGCGACTCCACGTAAACTACGTGTGGGTCAGTCCCGCACGTAATATCACGGTGAGTGGCCTTTCTGTTCAATATGGCGTCTATTTGAAAGTTTGATTTTCATTAATACTTTAACCTTTTTTTCCACCGAATAATAAAAAGTATTCTAACATAAAATACGTCCAGGCTCTGAGGAAGGCGAAGTCGCCGAAACGTTGCCATCGATCAGTAACATCAAAAACAACGACAACGACAACGAAGATCTGTACCAATCTCGCGTCACCTTAAGAAGATCAGTTTATAAGATCACATAAATAAATATAACAATCATACACTTTTATTGCCTCAATTTTTCACAAGTTGTCTGGTACCGTCGTGATTTGTTCACACTATTAATGTCATTAAACGGCAGCAGCTATAGCAGTGAAAAATGACGCCAATTACAGCAAGTAGGTACATCGTGGGTCAGCAGCAACGAATTCGAAAATCCTTTCGAGTCGAAACTCACCAAAAAGGAGAGGATTTTACTGAGAGAAACATTCCAGGTAGGGTTGATGGTGTAGATATTCCATTGGTTAATCTTTTCATTTTAAAGAATCGAATTGGAAAGGTGCACAAATGGACTTAAACCCACGAAATTCGTTCCCGTCTAAACCTGAAAAATTTGTCAACTTGATTTCGGGGTCTATTAAGGAATCAGTTTCGTTAGAAGTTTCACCCAAATTCCAATCTTTCGCCGACACTGTTTCTCACTTAGAGACCGCAATAATCTCAGTAGAAGACATCAGTCGCAGCCATTGTGTGCTTATGAATTTTTCCTTGCTTTGATTCACCTGAGTGTTTTCCTCTCTACTGAAGATCATTAGCTAATGAATTGCCTGTTTTATTCAAATAGTTATTGGATTTTCATTTTTTATTTCAAGAAAACATTTTTGAAAGTGAGAAAAGTAACCTCGAAGTATTCGGGAACGCAAGGTGGTTATTACCAATGTTTCAGCGACTAGATGATCCCAAGGAAATAGTCGGAATGATATTTCTCGACATTGTTTACGAAATTGAACCGGATATGAAGAAAGTGAGTTTGTCGTTTGCCGATGCTTTCAATCCTTTTGTTATGACATACGTCGTGCCCTTTCTGAGGCACTCAAAAGGCTTTATCTGCCTGAGAATATTTTTTAACATGTGAGAATTTTTTCCTATCACATTGAAAACGGTTAATTTGGATGCCGAATCACTACGAAGGGCAGAAGGCTCACCTCCTTTGATGAGTTTCCCAAGGTGTTTTAAATTTCCATCCAGACCCTAATATATGAATAAACTATGTCAGAAAGAACTAAATTCAGGGATGAGCCTTGCTAGCCGTCAGCTGGCAAACATTTTTAAACCACATGATGGTCACTGTCTGTGGAGACCACCTAAGATCGTCTTAAACAGCTATCCTTCGACCTCAACTGAGAAAGCTTCCTATTTGGCTTCCAAGGTCAAAATCGGTCGCTTACAATTTTTCACATGTGCTTACTGACAAATTGCCGTCCAGTAGTTGCATGCAGAACCTTTTCTATTCCGGTCACCACTTTTTTTCCAACAAAGGGGTTTGTTATGAAAGTGATCATCAAACAACTCATCCCAGAAAGGAGCGTGGACAACACTGAAACATTTTGAAATGACTGAATGAATTACACTGATTAAAGTCTAGGTATAGTATTTTCTCCGTTTTCTTATGAAAGTGTTGTGCTTAGCAAATTGCCGTCGACTTGACTTTCCAAGGCTTCGAAGAAGGCGAACCCTGCCGAGAAGTGAAAGCTTGTTAGTGAATAAAGAATAAAATAAAACCTCGTCTTTGCTCAACAAGAATACAAAGAATACTGAAGGAATTTTTGTGAACACCATAAAATGGGCTCGTTATCCTTAACTTACCTTGACATACTTTACTTTATCCAGTAATTCATCAGCACTTTGTTGCTCAAATGCTTAGAGAACTTAAAGATTTTGAAGAGCAGTTGAGACCGCGGATCTCCTTCAAAAAGGGATCTCATGCCGGTTAGTCGCCAGGCTGCCCAGGTGGCGGATAAGGGGTTAATAGCGGACCAAATGCGAATTTTTCTTCTCTGAGATGCAGATGGAGCCAGGGCTTGGTTTTGCCGTTTCTGCTGCGCCCATTTGGCACACTCCTTTTGTATTCACGACGAAGTATTCAGGCACGCGTGCATGTGCGTGTTCTTGTATATAGGAGGCGGTTAGGAGTCGCCTCGAACAAATAAGCCTGTCCCTCTCTCGGTCTATTCTAGGAAGAGACAATCAAGCTTTCCGTAATTGTGTCTAGCGCCCACATTCAGAGCAAACGCTAGACAGTAAAATAGACTGGCCCCATCCCACAAAAGACGAGTACGGAGAGGCTGCAAAAATCTTAGGGCCGAACGACAACCGATAGACGAGAGCCGCTAGTGATTGCGTTCCTCGGAATGCCAAACGGACTGCTGGGAGACCACCGACCCGATGATCAGAGTTCTTCACGAAAAACCAAGGAGAAAATTATGATGCTCAACGAGTTTCTAGAGCAAGCAGTACCCGCCGGGCGACTCTTGCACGTGACAGAAATAAATGGAATCTTAACTGGCAACCGTTTGAAACACACGACTTTCAATGAGAAGGCAGGTGCTATAGGTGATTGGTGATTGTCTTCTTCCATCTACTCTCAAAATAGTCCTGTCAATCTGCTACTAGATTTCCGTCATGGTTTCCCATTAATGGATGAAGGTTGAATGGTAAATTTACCCTTTTTGAAGGTAGGTTTCTTCTTGTGGTTTCAATTTCTAGTATGCATGCGTTTACTCTGATTGGTTTCCGGAAGATTTCGAACCCCTTACTTGAGTGAGTTTGCCTACCGATGCAAACCCACTTTACATCAGAGTTCTACTTCGAGGAACATTCTACTGCAATCTGCTTTGGCGTGGCAAGGGAGGGGTACGCTGTAATGGTAATGCTGGTCGTCAAGAGCACGGTTTTGTTTCGAATGGTTCCCGGACTCACGAAGCCTCTTATCGTTCCGGAGTCAGAAAATCGGTACCATGCCTGCCTGAGCACGGCTCACTCCCTTCAATCCATTTGGAAATACGTTAGTTCCGTTATCTCAAGACAGCAGGAATAGTCTATTCGACCAATATTGAGCGACATTCATAATGCAGGCAAAAAATCACCAAGCAGCAGCCGAAGCAACACAGGAAATATTCGTAGAATTTCGTGGATGATGGATGCAAATGAGCGAGTCGAATGAGAGAATTGTGAAGGCCATGCAGTAGATCAGAGTTCAGATCATATAAATGTTATAAATGAGTAAGAATATTTTTGCACACTAACTGCCTCAGTGGATGTTTTTCAAAGACACAGGCAACCATGTGCCCTTCAGTCAAATTGACCAGAAATACGAATTTCGTTCCTATGCTCACATATTTCCGTATTTTCACCACATTAACAAATTTTTGCTAATAGTGAGAGAAATTTCATTCTTACAGTGTTCAACTGTACTAGTGTTTTCTTGAAGGCGTTTAGCATAAAGCAAGTGCCAAAAGCTGGAATGCTAAGAATGCCGAAGTTTGGCGGGCACATTTCACGATTCACGGAGCTGCTGGATAAGGTACGGGCAATTTTAACTTTATGCTAGAATTTGTTCCTTAGCACGTCACATGGCAGCAGAAGTAGGGTAACACTGATCAATTCCGACCGCAGCACATGAAAACTACGCAAATGTGCCAACAAAAAGTTCTGCGTTTCAGACGACTAATATGCTCGGCTTCACTGAAAACCTAGCAGGTGCGTTACAACTCGTACGAAAATCTGGGCGTGCACACACCAGTCAAGGGTAATTTTTATTTGTTTAATAAGCAAATTGTGATCCACTAGCATTACGAACGAAAAATAGAGTAAGCAGGTGATCCTTGTTTCCAAGTACACTGAACTTCTAACAATGGAGAACCAGTGCACGCCATAACAGAAAGGATAAATCTCTCGACGTTGATCAATACCTGAAAGGTGCGCCATTCATTCGACTTTATTAAGCATCGTTCAGAGGTGATCGAATACATATCAGGCCTTTACTCGATGATGACTCGTGGTGGTCTACCGATATATCGAGCCAGTGCTGTTATCCTTCCAGACAAGTCTGGTACCAATTTGCCGCCTGCGGAGGGATGGAAGACTTAGTGGGCCGCGGACACGAGGATCGATTCCACGTGCGTGTTGCAGAGCGCCTCCGACCACTGCCCACACGCGCCCGCTATAGACTCAACAAATTAAAATTAGCCTTGCCGTTGCTAAGTCATAAAGCTGCGTAGTACGATACTTTGTAGCTGTAAGGAGACTAGAAGACTAGAAGGGACTACAATTACGTACTTGAAATTCAGGACACAGAGCCTCTCCGTGCTGCGTTAGACTGACTCACATCGTTTGTGCGTATGTGGTCTAGGAGACCTAACCCGAAGTAGTGTACCCTCAAAATGTCATGCAATATGCTCTTTGATTGGCTTGAACGAGGTCCCAGTGCCATATATCAACAGTGATTGGTGTTGCATAGAATGAAAATACTATGCTCAACGCATGCAGGAAATCCAAGGATTACGGAACCAAAACGACCGCTTTTGATGATATTCGATGAAAATCAGCTACACCATCATTGCTTTACTAATGATATCGCACCCATAGTATCAAGCCAAACGAGACAAATGCCCACCGATTTCCGGAATATATTTGAGAAGAGCAATCTCCGATGAAATCTAAACAAATCGATTTGTGAAATAACTGGATTTGTCACTGTTAAATCAAGGACTAAACAGGGACACGTAACGAATAGGCTCCAAGGTTTTGGTGGGTTAAGCGCGCTACAGGAAGATTTAACCGAATAGATCAACTTCTCCTGGATTCCTTAGAGACAATTTTCTCGCTATTGATGTTATTACCTCAAATATCTCCCCCAGCAACACAAGGATAGGTCTGGCCAGCACTATATCTGCTAAGTTTCTTGCATGGTATATCCATCATTATCTCATATCAACACAGTAGAGAAGTATGTTCTAGAATTGAATTTGCACCATTAATGGCTGATGTAGAAGAAATTACGGGGGAGTTACTCGTAATGTGAGAGAGTCGGAGCACACTGAGCAAGACGATCGAAGTCATCCTGTGTAAACGAATACGAGATATCTTTCAAGAATGCAAGAGCAGTCTGAAATAGCTTAATAATAGGTTAAAAATTGTGATAAACATATCTATTGATCGGTTTTCAAGGGCTTATAAAACATTTGTTGCAGATATCTCGAGGCGAATCAGCATAATTTTGAAAGGAACTATTTTGAAATTGTCATGAACGTATTCAATGAGCGCTTTATACCGTTTCTTACTGGTCAAGAGGTATTATACTTTCACCTAAAGCTTTCTATCACTTTAATTCTTTTTCCGGGAGATTATAGATGGGAATTTAGGAGTTACCTGTTCCAGACGATAACGATAAGAAAGTACGATTCGCTCAAACATACACACCTTCTCAGATCGCAGAAGTGTGGAAAAAGTATGCCCTATCACTGCTTTTCTTCAATGAGCTAACACGAGATTGGTATTATAGAATTTATTAGCACAAAATAGCTAACATTTCGGCAGTTTCGCCTTTTTTTGAGCCTGGAAAGGTCAAATTGACGTGCAATCTACTCAGCCAGACACTTCCGTGGCCTCAGCAGTTATTTGATAGATAAATTTGCATTGGCATAATAAACAGCTTCTTTTGAACATCCACAGTTTTATTCTTTGTAAGTAATCCATTCAATTTGAAGGGAGTATCCGCACAGAATAATACATAGGTGAGGAATGCGCCTGGGTCAGGTCACAGAATCGACCTGATGTCTGGCGCGAGATCACGTGTGATATCAGTACACTCCTCCCTGCTGTTCATTTTTGAGTTTTTGGAATTAGTCCGAAACTCTTCAAGAGGTTTACTCGCTGATGTTTTGAATTTTTTGGCGACGATAGTGACTTTTACTTCAAAATCTTCTCCGTTATGTTCCTGTGTCCTATGCACCCCTAGTGGAGTGTTTGGTTTCATTTTAAATTTACCGACTATGTCCTATCTATCAAGTGTGCATTTCTCCACAGGGCATATGAGCCCCGCTGAGTGTTTCACAGGAAGTTTTGGTGTGCTATAAGCTCAAAGTGAAACCTCATGAAATTATTCTAGTAACAAGTAGTTTTTTAAAAAAGTTGTTTGAAGTTCGGTTGATATGGGTGCTTTGGTTAACATTTTACATTCCTATAGATTGAGAGCCAATGCTAGTTATTTTAAATGCAGCTTCATATCCTAGAATTTTTTCTCATGAAGATTCCATACAACACAATTGAACACATTGGCCTCAGTTAGAAGAATGTATCCCTTAATCTAAAAGTTCTAGGTTCTTCAATTTGATAGCGGTTGAAATGGCCGATTCATTCGAAGTGGAACGTACTCGGCAAAGAAATGCTCAAAGCCAAAAAACACTCGCTCCCCATCAGCACGTTGAGGAAAATGACCGAAGGAAAAAACGCATACAGGTGCCGTGCTATTGTTCACTACACTTTCTTCTGAAAGCTTTATTACTTCAAAAAGCTCACTAAAGACTTTTGTTTTTCTAACATCAATTCATCGATTCTTATTTGGAGCTATAGTGAGCTCAGTGTTTAGGAAAAGCAAATCGAAAACACAGGCAGTTTCTATGAACCTAAAGAGCAAGAGCAGATGTTGGAGGACCCATTTTAGCGCCGATTTTTGCTGACGTACCTATTGTTTTTTTACTTTTTGTAGAATGAGTGTGCTCAAAAATGTGTCAATTGTATTCTAGTGTCTGTTTATTGTTTTTTTCTTGTCAAATGAATCTTTCTTCCTTGTATTCTTTAAGACTCTCACCTGCATCTAAGATAGATTTCTATTTCCTTTGTGAATCCATTGTATCGGAGGAAAAAGCTATTTTGCATAGCAGTTCTAGCAATCAACTACCAATTTAAGGAGCACTTAGCGTAGTGGTTAGAGATGCCCTACAATACGTACTGGATCGAGCGCTATTTCAATCACGTGCGTCGGGCTCACCAGAACCTATCTCTCTAGGATGGCAATATAGTAATCAATTTACTGATAGATTCTTAAATAGTAACGACCAAGTAAGATTTTTCTACTATAAAATTAATTTCTTCTATAATGAATATTCGACTAATGTTTTCTCATCATCGCCTTATTTTAACTCTTTTGGTCGAGATCATTGATGATCCCTACCCTTCGAAAGATCCCTGTCAAAAACATCAAATATTCAATAACGAAATCCTCGAAAATAAAAACGAAATGCCCTACTTCATGGTTGAATGCTTAAAATTCTTTACTGAAAAGCTATTTGAGACACCATTAGTCCTAAGTTTAACAATTCCCGAGTAATAGCCATTTGTTAGTAGCATACTTAATGTAACTGAAATCCCGCTGTCCGACGAACACTTTGAGCACACATCGATTGCATTCCAAAAGGGGATCTACTCCTAAGTATGCTACCTGAAATTGTTGCTTTAAAAATTATTCCTGAGTTTGAAGCTTGATATCCTCAGTTGGCTGTCGAGATCCAAACTATACACGACTGTGAGTTTACATAGCCAACGGATCGTGAGTGGTCACTACAGGATCCAGTCGACGCCCAATTTTCTTGTTTTTTGTTCTTCGATAGATGATAACACGACAGGTGGAATCTTTTACGATGTTGTTATTGCTGGGAGTTTGGATAAAGTTATGGGTTGGATCCACGAGGCAACAACTGAGGGTGTACGGCACGAGTGCAATTAATAGTTATAGTGAAACGACAATGAGTTTTTCATTTAACGGTGGCTTGTGAGATGCACCTGCTTTGACTTGACTCTCCGAACATCCATAACTTCAGCCTGAGCTGATGACCATGTGGTTACAATAGTTTGCTGTTTTTTATTTATGTGGTGCTTAAAGCAATAATTTCCAACAACATTCCAATCGAATCCTTTCTACCACTGTGCTACCAGTTTTGATACTCATTTACAATGACGATGGTGCCAACTATGGAATGAATTACAGTACCGAAGTGGTAGAGGCAGCGTTCAATAGACGTAAGCCTCTGGTTAGGTCACAACGGTATAACACAGTATGCCTTCGCTATAAGTTTGGACAATGGTACTAGAGATTCAGGAGAAAACTCCCAACAAAAAAGTTTAGTGTAACGACATCGAAGGAATACGCTACCATGGTCAGGTTTCCATGAGATGCTGTTCCACCAATATTAAGCAACATTCACGAACAAGAAAATTTCCCCAAGCAACAGCCGAACCCACAGGTAAATTCTAAGATCTTTATGGGTGATGGATACGAGGAGACGAATGGAATGTAGGAAGTGCTGGAATCAACGCAGTATACAACCACAACGTTGCTGAGATATTTGCAAAACTCTGGACCGCAGGTGTCTATGGTGGGGAACGAACGCGCTATTATCCTTTCCGGGGAGTAACGCGTTCACCACCAC